ATATTTTCAAATCATATGTCCCATAAGATAATTGTATCTAGAACATATAAAGACTCAACTTAGTAATTATTAAAAAAAAAAAAAACCTTTAAAATGGGTCAAATATCTGAGCAGACATTTCTCCATAGGAGGAGGTAAGTGGCCAATAAGCCCACAAAAAGATAATAACAGGAGGGAAATGCAAATCAAAACTACAATGACATAACCACTTCACACTCACCAGGATGCTATAATTTAAAAAAAAAATGGTTAATGTAAGAGGAAGGTTTTGGAGAAATTCTAACCGTTGTACACTGCTGATGGGAATGTAAATGCTACAGTTGCTCAGGAAAACAATCTAGCAGTTCCTCAAAAAGTTAAAAACAGCACTTTGACTCCTAGGTATATATCAAGATATATGAAAACCTTATGCATAATGCATATTTAGAGTAGTATTGTTCATAACACTTTCCAAAGGAGAAAAACCCAAATGCCCATCAACTGATGAATGTATAAAATGTGCTAATAACCATAGAATACAGTATCATTCTACAAAAAAACTAAGTTGAACACTCATACATGCTACAGCATGGATGAACTGTGAAAACATGCAAAGTTTAAAAAAATGTGTATTTTATGATTCCATTTATATGAAATGTCTAGGATAGCAAATTTATAGAACAATTAATGGCTGGCTAAGAATGCTGAAAGAGGAGATAGAGGACTCATGGCTAATGGGCTCAGGTTTATTTCCCGGGTGATGAAAATGTGCTCAAGCTGATTGTGATGAAAACTTCATAACTTTCTTAGTATACTAAATAGCACTGATTTTTTTTTAAGATTTTATTTATTCATGACAGACGCAGAGAGAGAGAGAGAGGCAGAGAGACACAGGCAGAAGGAGAAGTAGGCTCCATGCAGGGAGCCTGACGTGGGACTTGATCCCAGATCTCCAAGATCACACCCCAGGCAGAAGGCGGCGCCAAATCGCTGGGCCACGGGGCTGCCCAACAGCACTGGATCTGTACACTTTGCACTTGATCATGGCCAAAAGGCCAAGAGTCCATGAAGTTATACACATTAAATGAGTGAACTATAGGTATACAAATTTTTAAAATTAAAGTATAGCCAGTGATGTTACGTTAGTTTTCACAATTACATACAAATTGTGTACAAATGTACACAAATTATGTATTAATGTGGTTTTTAAAAAGCACTGTGGGGTACAAAATACAAGACAGGAATACATTCCAGGATCACCAGTGGATGCCTGAAACCACAGATATTACTGAAACCTAAATGTACCGTTTGTCCTATACATATATAACTATGATGAAGTATAATTTATAAATTAAGCACAAGAACTGAAGAATAGCAATAAACAATTATAACAATATATTGTAATGATAGTTCTATGAATATGGTCTCTCTCAAATTACCTTCTTGTATTGTCCTCACTCTTTACCCATTACCTGTGAGGCGAATGTCGTATGCATTATGACATAGTGCTGGCTACTACTAACCTTTTGGCAATGTATCAGAAAGAGAATCCTTTGTTTCAGGGTCACGGTTGACTATGGAAAGTAAAACCATGGATAAAGAGGAACTGTACAACAAATATAATCAAATAATTTTATTCTTATCTAATCCTTGAGGTATAACTGCTTTTTTTTTAAATAACACAAATTCCGTTCATTCCCTGCTGCCCAATAAAAAGCCACACTTCTTGCCTCCTTTAACCAGCCTATTTAAGATGATTGCAGAACCATTTGAACAAAGGCACAGCCCATGTACACTCAGGAGCCAGGGCATGTGCAGTCTGGAATCTGACCATCACCAACCTGAGTTTACTCAATTCTTAACCACCCAGGAATACTGTGCAACCCTGAGTAGTTTTTAAAGCAGCATTTTCAAATTTCCAAAACATAATGTAGATTTAACTTTTCCCAACTCCCAACTGCCTTCAGCTTAAACCTCTTTTGTTAATTGAGTAAAGGGTCTAAATTCCTGGTATTTACACTCATTTTTGAGAAATGCCTTGCTTTCTACTATCTGCAATGACACACAGTTTGAAAAGCACGGATGGAAAGATTTAAGAATGACTCTCCATTCTGACTGGTGCTCAGTGGTTGAGTAGACATCTGCCTTTGGCTCAGGTCATGATCCCAGGGTCCTGGGTTTGAATCCTGCATTGGGCTCCCCAGCAGGGAGCTTGCTTCTCCTTCTACCTATGTCTCTGCCTCTCTATGTCTCTCACGAAAAAAAATATAATCTTAAAACAAATTTTTTTAAAAAGAAAAGAAAAGAAGGAAGGAAGGAAGGAAGGAAGGAAGGAAGGAAGGAAGGAAGGAAGGAAGGAGAAAGAGAGAGAGAGAGAGAGAGAAAAAAAGAGAAGAAAGAAAGAAAGAAAGAAAGAAAGAAAGAAAGAAAGAAAGAAAGAAAGAAAGAAAGAAAGAAAAAGAAAGGAAAGAAAAGGGCTCTCCAGTCAACTGTCTATGAACTGGCCAGAGTCATTATTTCATAAAAATAAATTTGATTTTGTTACTCTTCGATTTAAACTTATAGTGGCTCCATACTGTTTTTAGAATAAAAGCCAAATTCCCTGGTAGGATGTAGAAGGCTAGCCCCAAATTTTTCTTACTTTTTCAACCTCATATCTCACTACTTCTTGTCTAGATAAGTCTTTCTCCCTGCCCCCCCCCCCCCTTTAGGGCTCCTGGAACATGCAGTTCGCTTCACCCATGACCCTCTGGTCAAAGCGGAGTACTCCTGCAATGGCCCACTTTATATATAATGATACCTACTTATCTCACAGCTTATTTTCACACTGCATATCTTGCCCCACCATACTCTAAGAACTCTAAACACTATGGCTACATCTTATTTAGGCTTTATAAAGCATTTGGGAGAGTGGAGGACACAAGCGGTATTAATCATGTCTTAATACCCATCATGCATTAAAATTCTTGGCAAAAACAAATAAATAAAAGCAACACCACCTCATGTTTGTTAAATAAATAATTGAGCAGGAACATTTGAGTTGGGGGGAATTCCAAAAGGCAGAAAAAGAAGACAACTGAAAGGGAAGAGTTAAAGTTTTGAGCCTGGAGTACCTTGAAGATACCATGGACTTAACAGAAAGGAAGATTTAAGAAGACCTATCTGGGGATCCCGGGTGGTGCAGTGGTTTAGCGCCTGCCTTTGGCCCAGGGCACGATCCTGGAGACCCGGGATCGAATCTCACATCGGGCTCCCAGTGCATGGAGCCTGCTTCTCCCTCTGCCTATGTCTCTGCCTCTCTCTCTCTCTCTCTCTCTCTCTCTATCATAAATAAATAAAAATTTTTAAAAAAAAAAAGAAGACGACCTATCTGGACAAAATGAGAGAGTTTTGGCTTCAGAAATATTTTACACATAATGTATCAGCCAAAAAAGTGACTTCATATTTTTTCAAAAATGGCTTAATAATGTATGACACAATAAGTTGTTAATTATTCTGAAGGAAAGCAAGGGAAAACAATCCAAATTTTATATAATGATTCAAATACTTTTCATCTCTGAAATCTTTTTTAACTCTCAGTACAAAAGGCACAAACTGAATGAATAGTTGTGCCTAAACCATGAAGTCTTATATATACCATCTAGAATACCCTCTACATTCATGCCTAACACCAGCTTTAATCTTCATTCACTTTTAAAGCTAGAGATGACCCCTGAACAACGTGGAGATGCTTCTTCTAATACTTAGAAGACCAATGTACATATCTGAGGATCTACTCTTTCATATAAAGCAATCTATTCTGGCCCAATTGAATAGTAAAACGTAAAATGTTCAATTGAATTTAAAAATAATGGCCTGGGAGTTAATGAAAAAATAGCACACATCTAACGGTTTCAAGTATTTTCCAAGCAAGATTTGTGCTTCAATGGTATATTCCGTGTTGCACTAGGCAGTATGAGCAATACTAAAATCATTGATGAAAAAAAAAAAAATAAAAAAAAATAAAATCATTATGAATAGGATAATAACGAAAATAAGTAGTTCGGTTTTTAAGATTTTGTTTATTTGAGAGAAAAAAAAAAAGAGTATGCATGCACATGAGTGGGGGGAGGCAGAGGAAGAATCCTGTGCAGGCTCCACACTGAGCCCGATGCAGGGCTCAACCCCACAACCACGAGACCATGACCTGAACCAAAATCCAGAGCTGAACACTCAACTGACTAAGCCATCCAGGCACCCTAAAAGTGGTTAACTTTTAAAAGATAATTTTAGATATATTTTAAATATGTTTATCAGCAACCTCTTCAAAGATTTCTAAAACCATTCTTTGGGCAGGGGGTGAGTCTTAATGATGCACAGTCAAAAAAAAAATTGGACCTCTGCTGACCCTGTTTTGTGTTTCATTTTTTTTTTAAGATTTATTTATTTATGATAGACATGGGGGGGGGGCGAGACACAGGAGGAGGGAGAAACAGGCTCCATGCCGGGAATCCGGCGTGGGACTCCATCCCGGGACTCCAGGATCGCGCCCCCAGCCAAAGGCAGGCGCTAAACTGCTGAGCCACCCAGGGATCCCCTGTTTTGTGTTTCAGTAGGAAAAAAAAAAGGGAAGCTCCAAGAGGTAATGGTTTGAGCATAATATAATCAATTCTAACAAAATTCTACTGCCTTAAGAATTTTCTTTATTTCTCTGGGCAGTTCAATTTTCTTAATAAAGCTATGAACCTTACAGTACAAAAAAGTTTAAAGACAACAAGGAAAGTCTAATGTCAGCCTCCTTTTTAATAGTGCACTGCTTCCTACAGCCACAGTGATGCTTTGAGAATACCTCATAGGTCTAACGCCTCTATTAGTGGCAACTCAAATGGTAGGACCCATCATGATTGTTACACAGTCTCATGGAAACACTGAAAAATTAACAACTGCCTGCAGTGTCAGAAAAATGCCAGTCTTGTACAAAGATAAAAATCAAGTAGCAAAATCTTTTTAAATTTTATGTATTTTTTGATGGTTTTCATTACCTCTTCTTTTAGTGCATGTTTCCTCTGTTCCAAACAGATCTCTTTCGCTCTCATCATCTGTAGAGTCTCCTTAGAAACCGCATACTGGAGTTTTTCCATACGTTCTGCAGCTGCTGCCCATGATGCTTTACCAAATTTCTTCTGATCTGCTCGCATTCGATCATACACAGCTAGCAATAATTTTTTAAAGAGACATTAAGACACAAGACAACGTGATACTAAAGAATTTGAAAGTTTTAGATCTCACTGACCACAGTTAAATATAAACATATGAATCCTACTCCTTTAAGTTACCTACAGCAGCCATAAAATATAACAACGTATTTTAGATTCTTTAATCTTCAATAGGTATCTTACATTATCATCCTCAGAAATAACTTCGTAAAGATAAAAACTGGAGTTGTCAGATTTTAAAACTTTTAAAAATGTTCTTCCACATGTTCAGTGTTATTAAATTTCAATAGTTTTATACATACTATATTCTATAAAGGTTTATACTTTTTCCTGGATATGTTGATTGAAATCAGAGTCCTAACTATTTAAAATTATTTGAAATTATTTCAATGCCTGTGTTGAATCTTAACCTTCTGAGCTCCTTCAAAAATATTTTAACAATCTGATGAAGGAATAAAATAAATCCTACATGTTAGCATGGAGGCTTATTCTAAGGTTAGAGTTTGAGCAGTACAACCAAGTCCCAAGGAAAACACCCAACTTCCTCTCCTACGCCCCCCAAAGGAAAAGAAAAAAATAACTTTTTATTTGTCACAACAACAATCTATTTCAAGAGACACTTCTTGACAATAAAATGACTGCTATCTTTCTGAGTTAAAGAAGTTTATCACTGATTGTGGTACCGTAGTGACTTATCCTGGGACCTCTACAATTAAACCAACCATCCTATGTCCAACCACTTTAATAGGTCAGAGACATACTTAACGTGAAGGGGGAAGGCAATCTGATTGGTATGGAATGTAATCTTTAAATCACTACACATGCACTAGTATCTTTTATATGTAAGAGATAATCTTCTACTGCTACTATTTCCTAATCATCTAATTCAAGAAAGGCATCTCAGCAAATCTTTGTCTTGAAATCTTAAATTTGTTTTTATAATAGTACATGTATATACTTAAAAATTAAACTATACAGGCAGGCTTCTACTGAAAAAGAGCAGTTTCTCAGGTCAGCTTGCCCCTACCCCTTAATCTCAGTGCCCAGATGCAATCAATTTTTAACTGTTTATGGTTGTTACTTCCATATAAAAATACTGCTGTTTCTCAATTTACAGTCTTTAAAAACTGTACTTGAGTTCCTATTATAACAGATGAGGAACTGTACTGACTTATACTCTTCTCTCAATATGGTTAAATTCGTTCTTTCGGTTTGTTTTTCTGTGGCCTTTAAGTGCTAACATAAGGGAAGTAATTTTTCAATGCATAATCTTGCTCTGAATCTCAATTTTAGGTTTTCTAACAAAATCTACTCACTGGTTGAATATCAAATGACTTTGCCTTTATAAATTCTACCTATCTGGGCAACCCTGGTGGCCCAGTGGTTAAGCGCCACCTGCAGCCTAGGGTGTGATCCTGGAGAACCAGGATTGAGTCCCACGTCGGGCTCCCTGCACGGAGCCTGATTCTCCCTCTGCCTGTGTCTCTGCCTCTCTGTGTGTGTGTCTCCCTCTGCCTGTGTCTCTGCCTCTCTGTGTGTGTCTCTCATGAATAAATAAATAAAATCTTTAAAAAATTTTTTAAAAAATTCTACCTATCCTTGAAAACTGTATTATAATAGTTCTGCAACCTTAAGATCAATATAGTAGCACAATGTAGGAAAAAAATCAGAGGATTTGGAGTCAAAGAGATAAATTGTCAATTCCACCTGTAACTGACATATAACTTGTGGCAAGAACCTTCATTGTTCTGGAGTGCATTTCCCTTGCATGCAAAAAAAGGAAATACAGCATCTAGCCCAAAAGCTTTTATGGAAATTAAATGAGAGAATGATAGTTATTCAAACGTCTCTTCCACTTCACATGGTACCACCATTCTCCTGCTCTCCACTAAGTGTCAGCAGTAGCTTCCTGTCCTAATTCAGTCTCATGTTGTTACCTGTCACAAGAGCTAGCCGACAGTCTTCTAATACCTTGGCTAGAACATAGTCCTACAGTGTTATTACTCTCTTCACATGGAATTATTTTCCCCAACAGTTCAGTAATATGACAGTAATAAAGAAAACTTTGTGAATGTAAAATGCTTGGAATACCCCTAGAACACTACTGGGATATCTCTAGAAAGATTATTCTCTCCCTCTGCTAGCAAGAATAAAGATTCCTGCTAAGTGAACCATTCACATTATAAGGATAACAACTCTATAATAGTGTATGATGATTAGTATATGTAAAAAAAAAAAAAACAACTCTGAAGGCAACACAGTTCTGGTGTTCACAAAGAATCATGTTAAATCTATTTTTTAAAAGCTTAATATGCTAACATGTATATTTGTCAGAAATGGGTCCATTTAAGATGTTTTTGAAGGCTAAGCAGGAATAGGGGCAGCTGGGTGGCACACAGTCAGTTAAGCATGCATCTGACTCTTAATTTCAGCTCAGGTTGTGATCTCAAGGTCATGACACTGGGCCTTATGTCCAACTCCACATGCAGCACAGAGTCTGCTTGAGATTATCTCTCCTCCTCCTTTTACTCCTCCTCCTCATGCTCTCTCTGCCCACCCTCTAAAATGAATAAATAAATCTTTAAAATAAAAGCTAAGCAATAGTAGGTCAAAATTAGGTTACATCTGGCTCTGTTTAAGAAGAAACAAATAAAATAATGGCATGTTTTACTCTTCCTAAAAAAAAAGAAATAAGAAAGCAACCTTTTAAAAAAAAAAAAAAAAAAAAGAAAGCAACCTTTTAATGGGAAAGATAATGGAGAGCTATTACTATCAGCAGCATAAAGCCACAGAGAGACCTTCATTCTGTTTCTTTGATATGTAGGGGAAGGTAAAAAGGAAAATTAAATGGCCAAGCAAGTATCTCTGAGTTCAAAAAGGCTCAGTGGTTTAGTGCCACCTTCGGTCCAGGGATCAAGTCCTACGTCGGGCTCCCTGCATGGAGCCTGCTTCTCCCTCTGCCTGTGTCTCTGCCTCTCTCTCTGTATGAATAATAAATAAAATTTTTTTTTTAAAAAAAGCTTCTTGCTAAGATAAAGTCACCAGAAGTGAAATATAAAGAAGTCTACAGTGATTCTAATGAGGCATATGGAGCCCTATAATGATGGCTGTCATGTACAAAAAGGTGTTGCTTAAAATTGGATAAGTATAAAATAAGAGCAATCATCAAAACTGTACACAGCCAGAAGTATGAACCATATAGAATACATAATTAATTATATGCAAAATTAATGCAATTATGTAATAAGCCATATACTTAAAAATTGGAAGAAACACAAAGGGGTTGCATAGGTAATAGGATTACAGATGACTATGTAGGGTTCCCCCACTCGAATATTCTAAATTTTCTATAATGGTTATTATATTTTTTAATAAATTAATTTATTTGAGAAAGAGAGAACAAGGAGAGGGGCAGAGGTAAAGAATCTTAAGCAGACTTTCTATTAAGCAAGGATCCCGATGTGGGGTTCAATCTCTCAACCCTGAGATCATGACTTGAGAGGAAATCAAGAGTCAGACGCTTAACTGAGCCATTTAGATGACCCTATAATGGTTATATATTTTTAACCATAATGCAATTTTTTTAAAACATTAAAGAATGCATCTAGAAAGTAGACATTAAACCAAATGCCTTACAGTCGGGAAAGTCATCTTTAAGCTATTATTTAATAGTTTAAGGAAACAATATTTTAATGCACTGGTTTTTTTTCTTTTACATTTTTAAATTGTCATAATGCTCTAAGGTGAATACCCATGAGCGAGATTACTGGGTCATATGGTAAGCATATCTTTTAACTTACATAAGAAATTCCATTCATTTTCCAGAGAGACTGTATAATTTTGCATTACCACCAGCAATACAAGGAGGGTTCTTGTTACTCAGCATCCTAGTCTGCCCTTGGTTTTGTATTTTTTTATTTTAGTCATTCTAATAGGCATGTGTTGGTATTTCACTGTGGTTTTAATTTGCATACTAATGACTGATGGTCCTGAACATTTTTTTAGGTGCTTGTCACCTGTGTCAAAGAATAAATGGCCATGTATTGTGAACTTATTTCTTATTCTGTCCCTTCCATTATACTATACCACAGTGGCTCTATAATTTGTAAAGTAATTTGTAAAAGTCAGGCAATGTGATTCTGTTTTTCTTTCTTTCTAAACTGTTTCAGGTATTTTAGTTCCTTTGCCATTCCAAGTAAATTAGAATCAGCCTGTTTATATCTACATGGAAAAGCCCTGCTTTTGTACAGTGTTAAATCTATAGATCATTTTGGAGAGAACAGACATCATTACTTTGCTGGACATTCCAATACATGAACATAACATGTCTATATCCATTTACTTACATCTGTGATTTTTTTTTCATCATGGTATGTAACTGTAAGAATATAAATCCTGTACATGTTTTGTTAGACTTAATATAAATGGATTATTTTTTTGGAATTGTTAAAAGATTTCTATTTCCAACTATTCATTGCTTATATAGATAAATAGAACTCATTTTTGGGTGCTGACCTTATTTCCTATTAACCTGAGAAAGTCACTTGTTAGTTGGAAGAGTTTTTAAAAATAAATTTACATAATTACAAATTTAATATAATGTTCAAAATAAACATCTAAAATAGGAACCATTTTATTTCTTCCTTTCCGACTATACGCTTTGTTTTCTTGCCTTATTACCACTAAGATTTATTTTATTATGTTGAACAGGATAAGTGCAAACATTCTTGACCTTTTAACCTATTTTAGGGGGAAAGCATTCAGTCTTTCACCATTAAATGTGATGCTGGCTATGAGATTTTTGCAGATCTCCTTTATCAGATTAAGGAAGTTCTTTTCTAATCCTAGTTTGCTCACTGTTTGCATCACACACAGCATGTTGTATGTTGTCAAATGATTTTTCAGCATCTTTTTTTTTTTTTTTTTTTTAAGCTAAAGCTTCTCAAACTCAGCACTTTAGACATTCTGAGCCAGAAAATTCTTAGTCATAGGGTGGGCTGTCCTATGTGACATAGGATGCTTCATATAATCCATGGCCTCTATTAGATACTAGTAACACTCTCAGTAGACAGCCCAAAAGGTCTCAAGACAGCCAAATGTCTTTTTGTGTAGCACAATCACCTCTAGTTAAAAACCACTGTTGTAACCTTCAATGTGGTAGATTACATTGATTGGTGTTCAGATAACATGATTTTCTTCCATCAAGAAAAACCCCACTTGGTCACAGATTTTTGTCAATATGTAGGTGGGATGCTCATCTGTAGGGTTTTTTAGTACTGTCTTTGTGGAATTTTGGATTTAGGATATTGCTGATGTCATTTAATAAATTCAAATTATTTCTTCCTCTTCTGTATTTTGGAGGAGAAGCTTGTAATACTATATAAAAGGATTTTGTAAAATTTGCCAGTGAAACCCTCTGGACCTGGAGAATTCATTTGTGTGAGATTTTTAACTACAAATCCAATTTCTTGAAAAGTTAAAGGAATATTCAGGTTATTAATTTCATCTTGATTTGTTCAGTTTTTTTTTTTTTAAGATTTTATTTATTGATTGATGAGAGAGGCAGAGACATAGGCAGAGAGCAAAGCAGGTTCCCTGTGGGGAGCCCGATGTGGGACTCTATCCCAGGACCCTGGGATCAAGACCTGAGCCAAAGGCAGACGCTTAACCATTAAGCTACCCAAGTGCGCCTATTCATAGTTTTTTGTTTTGACAAAGATTTGTTGCATTCTATCAAGACTGTTGGATTCATATGCATGTAGTTGTCTACAGTATCCCTTTTAATGTCTGCAACAGAATATCCCATCATCATATGTGTTTTTATTTTTCAAAAAATACTTTATTTATTTGAGATAGAAAGAGCACAGCAGGGGCAAGAGCAGAGGGAGAAGCAGGGTCTCCGCAAGCAGGGACCCCTAGGTGGGGCTCAATCCCAGAATGCCAAGATCATGACCTGAACCAAGGACAGATGCTTAACTGACTGAGCCACCCAGGCACCCTTTAATATATGTTTTTAAAGATTTTATTTTGAGAGAAAGAAAAAGCATGAGTGCAAGTGGGGGAAGGAGTAGAGGGAGAGAGAGCAGCTCAAAGAGACTCCAGGCCCAGAGGGGAGCCCATGACAGGGCCAGATCTCAGGAACCTGAGATCATAACCTGAGCTGAAATCAAGAGTTGGACAGTCAACTGAGCAACTCAGGTGCCCCTTAATATGGGTTTTCAAATAAATAAATACTTCTGTATTTAAATTGTACATAGAGGAATAGAGGATAAAAAATGGTGGCAGGGTAACAGATGATGTGATTTTCAAAATTCCTTAATGACAGGGTACCATTGGGCACCTGGGTGGCTCAGTCTGTTAAAATTCTGCCTTCGGCTCAGGTCATAATGATCCCAGGATCATAGGATTCAATCCCACATCAGGCTCCCTGCTTAGCAGGAAGTCGGCTTCTCCCTCTCCTTCTACCCTTCCCCCCACAACTCCTGCTCACGCTCTATCAAATAAAATCTTTAAAAAGGATAGGATACCATCTTCCTAATAAAATAAAACTGGAGAAGCAAATAATGTGATTTACTCAAAACTTCCTAAGTTAATACTGCCTCATGTCTAGCCAAATATTTCAGGAACAGGAAAGATGGGATGCATTAACTTGACTGATACTATGAGATTTCAAAGTAGCAATGAGCATCATAAAAAGAAGCCTTTTCTACCTTCTGTGCACAAAATCACTCACATCAATATTAAAAAGTTATAACTGACTAGAATTAATTCAAGAAAGCGCTTACAAACATTAAATGCTAACCATAATTCTACCTCTTTGAATCATTAAGTCCAAGAAACAAAAAACATTTACTCAACAAAAAGAAATCACATGATCACTAAAAAGTTAACTACTAAATTTCACTTTGTTCAGAAATGAAATATTTAAGCATCTCAACACATTCTATATCCTATTTATCACAAAACAGGAACAAAGGCTTGAAAATTAAAAAATAAAACCTATTAATAGGCGTACTATCCTTCTTATCACAAAAAGTAAACACAACACCCAGAAGAGAACTGAGAAATGTGTAGAACCTAGATGATTTTAAAAAACAAAACAAAAAAACCCTACAAAACTTTCTGGAAGAAAACAAAAGACTTGGATAAAATGGCAAGATATATCAACTACATAATTTTTTCAATTATCATATTGACATACAACAAAACATTTACTCATCCCATGAATATGAAAATCCTCTTGTCAAATTCTACAGTATTGTTGTTCTGGTAAGAATTACATTACTTTGGTAAGAAATAATTTTTTAAGAATAGGATTATAGTACTATCTTAGAATAAATGACTATACACCCAAAATTTTTGAAAAATAATGAGGAGGGGGTAATTAATAAGCTGAGTAGGGCAGCCCCTGTGGCGCAGAGGTTTAGCGCCGCCTGCAGCCCGGGGTTTGATCCTGGGGACCCTGGATCGAGTCCCACATCGAGCTCCCTGCATGGAGCCTGCTTCTCCCTCTGCCTGTGCCTCTGCCTCTCTCTCTCTCTGTGTCTCTATGGATAAATAAAATCTTTAAAAAAAAAAACTTAAAAAAAAATAATAAGCTGGGTAATACATTTCATTATGAAGCTATTGTCATTACTCAGAGCATAAGAAAAGGCTTATCCAACCAAGTAGATGAAAGTATGTCCAAGATTATGAAAGGACTTTAGTCTTTTTTTAAAAGCTTTTATTTATTTATTCATGAGACAGAGAGAGAACGAGAGTGAGAGACACAGGCAGAGGGCTCCATGCGGGGAGCCTGATGTGGGAATCGATCCCAGGTCTCCAGGATCGTGCCCTGGACTGAAGGCAGCACTAAACCGCTGGGCCACTGGGGCTGCCCAGAATTTTAGTAGGTTTTAACTATTTGGAGGAATCCAGAAACTTCAAAAAATATAAGTAACAATTTAAAGATTTTTAGAAAATCATTCTTAGAAGCTAATGGTCTTTACAAATAAATTTGTAAACAATAAAAAAAGTTAAAATTTAGGAACGGATATTTGCAATAGATGTCCAAGTGTAATATAATAAAAATAAACCAATATAAGGATCTCTTATTCATTAAGAGAAAAAAAACCTACCAAAAAAGTATTAAGTGAAAAGGATATGCAAATATCAACTATTACATTTTAAAAAGCAGTAGTCAGTCATAATGAAGGAAATAAAAATTTAAAAACATGATACTTTCAAACTATTTTTATTTTTTTAATTTTTTAAATAACAATGTCAAATGATGCTAAAGAATCAAAGACCGCATTCTTCTTTGGTACACTGGCATTCTGAAGGAATAATCTGCTTCAAGTACAATTTCTAAGGAAATGTGGATTTGCTGAAGGAATAACCTAAATGCTAAACTATGTTAATGTCAGGCAGATCATGAAAATAATGAATAGCAGTGACTTTAAACTGCTACTGAAGGATTTCTGTGGCCACGTGTGGAAGAAAATTGGAAGGAATGGACCTTCAGAGACCTTGCCCTAAATATCTCTTCATTTGGCTGATCTTGATTTGTATTGTTTATAAACTGTAATTCTCCTAAGTATGTGCTTGCCTGAGTCTTGTGGATCATTGTAGCAAATGAACAAACCTAAAAAGGCTGTGGGAACCCCAAAACATGTCATTATTTGGTCTAAATGTGGGCAGTCTCACTGGGACCTGGGCCTTTAAGCTGTGGAATCTATAACGGGTTAGTATCAGAATTGAATTAAGCCACACTAACACTCCATTGCTAGTTTTTAAAAGTGAAGAATATGTAAATACATGCCCAAAAAAAGATTGAAAGGATCTACCATAAGTTGCTAATAGTGATCTTTTAACTACTAGAACTATGAGTAATCTTTATATATTATTCTTTAGAACTCCTGCAAACATGAAATACTTAACCCACTCATTTTCAAAAATATCTAACAAGGATAACTATACTAGGAAACTCACCTTTTTGTGCTTTTGCTGTTATTTCAAAATATTTGACAGTAAGGTCTTGAATAGACAGCACAGCCATGTGAGCTTTTCGCTGCCAATCAGCATCTTCTTTCTGTAGACTTTCAATTCTCCGGGGACCGAGATAATCATTCTCCATAGAAATCTTTAGAGAAAAAAATAAAAATTAAGAAGCCCACTTCTTTCTTTCTTCATTCCTTAAATATTCACTGAATTTAGATATCAGGCATTATGCCTAAAACAAAGCATATTTTTCTCTTGCTCTAGAATACAAGCTATTAATTTACAAAATAAGTAAATTAACAATGTTAAAGCTATCAGATGCAAAAACTGGTTCCCAATTCCTCTATCTTCTATCTTCTTTTTCATCATCCCCTCCTCCATATATAAACAAAGGACATACAGCAAAATGTTAGATGAGGAAATAGATTTCCTCCTTAGGATAATTATATTTTCAGATTAAGAATTACTTGTGCCATTAAAATACTTCTTTTACAACTGACATAAAATAATTGAAAACTCAAATTTTAAGACTGAGAATTTATGAAAATCAGCCCATCTATCAAAGACCTCTAAACAAAAGTAACAGACAAAAATAACTTATTTGCAAGAGGGCGCCTGCGTGGCTCAATCTGTTAATAAGCGTCTGCCTTCAGCTCAGGTCATGAACCTAGAATCCTGGGATCCAGACCCGCATTGGGCTCCCTACTTAGGCAGAAGTCCACTTCTCCCTCTGGCTTCCCCCCAACCCCCGGCTCGAGATCTCGTCTCTCTCACTCTAATAAATAAGAAAATCATTAAAAAAACAAAACAAAACAAAAACTATTTTGCGAGAGTTACAACTGAAACAAAAGGACAAAGGAGAGTTGAAAACCTAATGATGGACAGGGATGTACCAGGTGAATGCTATAGTAAAATTCACAGTACAGACGGTATTAATATAAAAGTATATAAAATTACTACACAGGTATGTTTAACATGGAAGAAAGGTGAAATCCATAAAGACTAGCAACAGATCCTTTGTGCCGTCTATCCTGCTTTATCATATAGTAAGAAAAGACAGCCTAAAAATTCAATGAGAAGTGAGCATCTTATTAAGATGATGATAAAAACAAAGATATTAACCCATGCCTGGCATACTCCTTAAAAACTAAATAAACTATCATGAGCCACCAAAAAAAAATTGTAAAAAAGCTTCACAAGTAGAAATAACACAGGCTGCATTCTCTAAATGGTGCCATAAACAGATTAAAAGAACAGCCTTACCCCAAAATAACACGTTAATCTAGGAAATGTAACGTAGAGGAAGGTAACATTTGGTTTTGGCCTTAAAAAACAATATACTGCTAGCTCCTTAAGCAAATGAAGAAGCTTCCAGATAGAGATGGAAATATATGCAAGATCACTTAATACAAACTCAGCTCACAATTGAGCAATTTATAAGAAGTGTTATAAATGGACAAAATAAGCAAAGCACAAGGAGGGATCAAGAATGACTATATAGGGATCCCTGGGTGGTTCAGTGGTTTAGCACCTGCCTTCGGCCCAGGGCGTGATCCTGGAATCCCGGGATCGAGTCCCACATTGGGCTCCCTACATGGAGCCTGCTTCTCCCTCTGCCTCTGTCTCTCATGAATAAATAAATAAAATTAAAAAAAAAAAAAAGAATGACTTATAGGAGCATTTGGGTAGCTCAGTTGTTTAAGCAACTGACTTCAGCTCAGGTCATGATCTCAGGGTCCTGGGACAGGCTCCACGCTTAGCAAGTAATTTGCTTCTCTTTCTCTCTCTGCCACTCCACATGCTTGCACACGTGTGCACTTTCTCTCAAATAAAATCTTCTATTAAAAAAGAAGAAGAATGACTAGAAAAAAATATCTAGGGGTGCCTGGCTGGCTCAGTTGGTGGAGCATGAGACTCTTCATCTCAGGGTTGGCAGTTCGAGCCCCACACTGAGTGGAGATTTTTTTAAAAGGTCAATAAAATATTTTTAAAAATTTGCATATAGAATTTCAATTTTCTCAAAAAAGTAAACAATGAAGGAGTGACTAGTTTCAAAGGGGAGACCATCAAGGATTTCATCTTATATATAAGTCTGATTTTGCAAAGGTCATAACTAGAGAGAAGTATTTCAGTAGCCTTGACACAAAGATGACATTTAACAGCCATCAGAGTGAATGAGGTTATCTAAGGAAGTCATGAAAAAGGCTCATACTTGAGCCCTGAGCTGAGCCCACACTGTGAAGAATAGACTATAGAAACCAAGCCAGGGCAACCCCAGTGGCTCAGCGGTTTAGCACTGCCTTCAGCCCTGGTGTGATCCTGGAAACCAGGGATCGAGTCCCATGTTGGGCTCCCTGAGTGGAGCCTGCTTCTCCCTCTGCCTGTGTCTCTGCCTCTCTCTCTGTCATGAATGAATAAATAAAATCTTTAAAAAAAAAAGAAAAAAAAGAAACCAAGCCAGAGGAAGTGGGGACACCAGTAAAGTATGGAATCACATAAGGAGCAAGATTCATTCAGAGGAGGAAAAACTGACCCTGTCCAATACTACTAAGGTGTCAAGTAGGATGACATCGAGTACCCGCAGATCTAGTGGGTACTCTAGTTCTAGAGTATAAGCAAATTTCCTTTTCCTATTAACTCCCATCACATTTCAGATCCTAGTTCAATTACTAGTTCATGGAAGTATTCCCTGACTTCTCATTATAACCTCTTCAGTGTAATACAGATAACTTTCCTTCATAGCACTTACCATAACCATTTAAGATTTTGTGAACTTTAAATATTAACTGTTTCCCACTTTGAAAAAGTTCTATGAGGGCAGAGAATGGATAGGTTTGTGTGTTGGTGGTTTGTTGGGTTTTTAAATTTTGCTTCTCACTAGCATGCTGCCTGGCATGAAATAGGCAATCTAAAATATTTCCTAAATGATGGAATTAAAAATTCGCTCTGTACCTGTCTTTAATGAGAAGAAATGCAGACTTGTTTAAATAAATACTCTGAGAGATCTGAATGAAGAGGAAAAAGGGTGGTGCTAGAAAGGACAAAGCTTAAGGGTAGACCCTTTGCTTTTTGTTTTATTTTAATGGGAGATCATGGAATAGGCTGAGAGGTGATAAAAGTATCTAGCAAAAGGAAAACATACGGATGCCAGGAAAAAAATGAGGCTGATTATAGTAGAAAGGTCCTTATAAGAAGGACATGGGAAATGACAGGATTTAGAGTACTGGTGTACGGGATATGCTCTTGGTAAATGTAGGCATAGTTTCTCTGTGGCCATTAAGAAAGCCAAGTTTTAGATTTGGTAAATGGATGGGGGGGGAACTCCTGTTTGAAGATCTCTATTTCTCCCTGTGAAAAAAGCATCCAGATATGAATAGTTTGGTACAGGAGAATGGAGGAGAAAAGACACAAAATAACTGTTTTAAGATAGTACAAAGACAAACCATTCAGAAAAATGCACTAAGTAAATATTTTCTTAGAAAGTAACCAGAAAAAAAAATTTAAAAAAAAAAAAGAAAGTAAGTAATCAGGGCTGGGGCCTGGGTGGCTCAGTAGGTTAAGTGTCTGCCTCTGGCTTAGGTCATGATCTCAGAGTCCTGAGATCAAGTCTCACATGGAGCTCCCTGCTCAGCGGGGAGTCTACTTCTCCCTCTCCCTCTGCCCCTCCCCTGCTGCTTGTGTTCTCTCTTCTCTTCCTCTCAAATAATCAATCTTGTTTTAAAGGATTTGATTTATTTATTCGTGAGAGACACAGAGAGGCAGAGACACAGGTAGAGGCTCCCTGCAGGGACCCCGATCCGGGACTAGATCCCAGATCCCAGGATCATGGCCTGAGTCAAAGGCAGACGTCCCAATAAAATAATCTCTTAAAAAAAAAAAAAAAAACTCTTAAAAAAAAAAAAGTAACCAAGTTTAGTGTGGTCATGGCACAAACTCATATGCTAGTAGATCTATAAATTGATGAAAAACTTTTCTGTCAAGTATTTTATGGTACCATACTCTTTGAAGATATTTTTTTAAATATCTACTTTTTATCTATTTAAGAAAATACTATCAAAGAGTAATAACCAAGGATATTCACTACAAAGCTGCTTAAAGGAAAAAATGTATCAGATATATTGAATAGACAATGTTACAGATAATACATCTATAAAAATACAATTCTATACAAAAATAATGCTTATGAATTTCTAATAACAAAGGAAAATGATTATAATATTAAGCAATGACAGATCAAATCATAGACATGATTTCAACTATATAAAACATTTGGTTTTGGCCTTAAAAAAACAATATACTGCTAGCTCCTTAAGCAAATGAAGAAGTTTCCAGATAGAGATGGAAATATATGCAAGATCACTTAGTACAAACTCAGCTCACAATTGAGCAATTTATAAGAAGTGTTATAAATGGACAAAATAGCAAAGCACAAGGAGGGATCAAGAATGACTATATAGGGATTCCCTGGGTGGTTCAGTGGTTTAGCACCTGCCTTCGGCCCAGGGCCCAGGGCGTGATCCTTGTTTCTCTCAAACAAGGAGAATATATGTACAATGTATTACTGAGGTCATTTTTCGTTAGATTATGGGTAATTATTTTTCTTCTGTTTAAAATCTGTACTTTCCAAATCCTCATTGTGTATGTATTGCTTATATTGCTTTTATAATCATGAACCAAAAAAATGTTCTCTCTCTTCTTTGGGTCACAAACTATACCAACTAGACAAAACTAAAACACATTATCCCAGAAGTTTCTCTCTTTCTAGTCAAGCAAACAATGAGCTCTTGTTTTCATATAGGAGGACCATCAAGAGGCAAAATTGTGAGACTTATTTTTTTCCCCTAGTGTGTGTGGGAGGGAGGGGAAGTTGAGATATGATCAGAACTTAAATGTCCTCCTTAATAGTTGGAAAACAGAATTACTTGAGCTCTACTTCTGGTACTATAAAAATAGTGCATAATTAAGTCAGTAAGAGCTTAGATTCTTGATATCATATTCCTTACTCACTGAGACTGGAATTTTTTTTAATTCTCACAAAACAATTACTGTATCTCCAGTCACATATTCCAAGACCCAAATTACATGATACTACTGAATACGGTAGCTTTTTTCTTCCTTTTTGATTTTACGACAGCTAATATT